CAGCCCTAGGAATGGCACGATTCCCCATTTCCACCCAGGGCCACATCTGGCAGCTCAGGAGAATCCAGAAGTTTGGTGGCTTTCCACGGAGGATGGAGAGGGCAGTGGGGAATTGAAATGGTGAAGCCAGCCATTCTGAAATACCTGCTGGCCTTCGCAAGCGGCCCTTGGTAGTGGAAAGGACCGCTCACAGGCAAAATGGAGGGACCCACTCGTCAGCTCCACAGCAGCGACTGGGTGATTCATGGTCAAAGCCCAGACTGGAATGTCGGGGCAGGTTAGAATGCCTGTGGACAGAACTCTCTTCTGGGCTCTTCACATTATTCATGAGCTGAAAAACCTCTCTCCTATCTCCTTTGAAAAAATACTATTCCAATCAGGTCCGGATTTCCCAAACACTCTAGGCATTGGCACACACTTGATCAGAGAATCCCTGTACTTTCCCCGGGGCTGTGCCCTCTGCTGGAATCTCCCACTCTTCTGCCTGGAGCCTCTTCCCTCCCAAACCACACAATTAGCTTTTCATGTTTGGCTTTTCCAAAATAAACTTAACGGCCTTTATCTCCCATCCCAGGCGCACACTGAGACTGGAGAGCCATAACCCTGGCAGAAGGAAGCGTGGCACCTGAATAAGAGACGCTTTATCCTGAGTTTCTTCACAAGCAGGGCAAAAAGGGAAATGGAAAACAAAGTATTTCTTACTTAGAAGAGTGGGAATCAGAGCCAAGGAGCACCAGGACACCGTAGCGCTAGGCCCCAACTCTTTAAAGGCACAGAACCTTGGATTGTGAGCCAGGTAAAACTGAATTCGGCAAGACGAAGTTTCTGAATGACAAGGCTAAAGACTCAGGTGTTTCTGGCAGCGTGCACCTGTGCTGCACAGCTGTCTCTGCAACCCGGTTCTGAACGTGAGCACCTAGAGCGCTGACACAACCCACAAAGCCAAGGGACTCAGCCTGAGATACCTCAGCTCAGATTCCAGACTATGGTGTGTGACACAGTGCTGTATTGTCACTGGGGGTGGTTTTCCCACTCTGACAGTTTATCTTTGGAGTATATTGTGCTAGGATGTTTTCCTTTAAACCTCTTTACATTTCTCTTGTATGAAACAGGCCAGTGTGTGAAGGTCAGAGGACAAGTGAGAGTTGTGGCCCTGCAAGAGCAGCAACTCTCCTGCCATCCTGCGGGATCCGTGGTTCAAACTCAGGTCATCGGGGATGATGGTAAGTGCCTCACTGAAGCATTTTGACCAGCCCCATGCTAGAGAATTTCAGTAATTTCTGAAGTGGCCATAAACACATTTCTGCCACATTGTATCACACACTTATTCAAAGTGGCATCAACACCTCAGCCTTGACAATCATAAAAACAAAAACACTGATTAGTGACCCATCTGCCTCTGTCTCCACGTGCTGGGATTAAATGCATATGCCACCATAAATATATATATATTTAGCCGGGTGTGCTGGCACATGCCTATAATCCCAGCATTCTGGGAGGCAGAGGCAGGCAGATCTCTGTGAGCGTGAGGCCAGCCTGGTCTACAGAGTGAGTCTTGGAAAGCTTATTTGTGCTGTGAGCATGTTATGAGCACAAGCTTGTAGAGAGGTTAAAGGTCAGCCTCAGGTGCTTCTCAGTAGCACCTTTTAAAAAATGATTTTAAAGCTGGGCATGGTGGTGCTTGCCTGTTATCCTAGTGCTCGGAGAGACAGAAGCAAGCAGGTCTCTGTGAGTTCGAGGCCAGCCTGGTCTACAAAGCAAGTCCAGGACAGCCAAGACCACATAAAGAGAAACTCTGTCTTGAAAAAAACCCAAACCAAACCAAACCAAAAAAAGATTTTAAAGTATGTGTATTGTGTCTGTGTATGCAGGTACATGACAGTGTTGGGGACCCTGGAGCTGGAGTTACAGGCCGTCTGAGGCACCTGGAGTGGGTACCGGAAACCAAATTCTAGTCCCTGCAAGAGGAGCAAACACACTTCACAGCCTACCGTCTCTCCAGCTCCCCTCCCCTTGTGTGAGACACTCTCTCACGGGGACCTGGGGCTCAGCAATCCAGCTAAGCAGGCCAGCTGGGAGCCCCAGAGATCTGCCTGTTTCCACCTCCCCAGCTCTGGGGTCACGATGGCACATCACCAGGCCCAGCTCTGTACTCAGGTACTGGATGTGGAAGTCCTCGGGGCCTAAGAACTTTCACAAGAAGCACTGTACTGGATGACCTGCCTTTCAGTCTGAAAAAAAAAAAAGTTTTTAAAATGGTTGTGGGTTAGCCGGGTGTGGTGGCACATGCCTATAATCCCAGCACTCTGGGAGGCAGAGGCAGGCAGATCTCTGTGAGCGTGAGGCCAGCCTGGTCTACAGAGTGAATCTTGGAAAGCCAAGGCTACACAGAGAAACCCTGTCTTAAAACAAAACAAAAATAGTTGTGGCCTATTACCAAGAAATGTCTGACTTTTTAATATTGTATTTATTCTTTTCAGGTCAGATCTCATGGAGCTCAGGCCGGCCTCAAACTTGATAGCTGGGGATGATGTAAATTCCGCAGCCTCCTGGCCTCCACTTGCCAAGTGCTGGGATTACAGGTGTGTCGCACAAACGTTACAGGTGTGCACTGATTCTACAAAGCTGGATAAGCGTTGCCACATGGAGAGGAGCTTCCAAGTGAGAACTGTAAGCGCTTGGTTCTGCTCTAAGGGCTGTACAGGAGGCTTCCCCGCTTCAGAGCTTCAGGAACAGTTCTCCCTGCCTGGAGGCCAGAGGGCCATCCGCACAGGATCTAAGCCTGGCCTTGACCTCTATCCCCCTGCTCTCGGCCAGGGCCATTCCTCCAGGAGTAGGCACCTGCAGGGGCCTTCCCTAGGGAAGTTCACGGTCACACACTGCCGGGGTGGCCTGAGATGCCTGCAGGGCTTCCTCTGGAGTAATGAATAATGCAGTGTCGGCAGCCAGGGGGCTGAGATGGAAAGCTGCGAGACAGAGCCAGCACACACACCCTCCTGCGCCGCTCCATCCAAAACTGGAGGCTGGGAAACCGACTCCTCTCACCCACTCTGGCCCTGCTGGAACAGGTGGTCTTAGGAGCTCTGGGCCAACAGCCAGGAAACCGGAGACCCGTAACACAGAGCGGACCTTCCCTGTGGCAGCACCGGAGCCCTCCACCGGGGCGTGCATGTATACCTGCATGAATTCCTCTTCTCATTCACAGCTTGTAGCTGTCTGGGAGTCAGGAATGGTTGAGAACAAATTCCCCATCTTCAGCGAAAAGCCAAAGCCGCCGGCATGGCGGTAGTTGGACACGGAGCCAGCCTGGCTCTGGTCTCACAGTTCCCAGACGTACGAACCTCCAAGCGCAGGGGTGTCATGGAGATGGTAAGGGAACCTGCCTTTGCAGGGTTGTGAACAATCCTCACAGACCTTCTCTCACACAGGACACACTCTACATACATTAAGCTACTGGTTATGAAAACACAAGAGAATTCTGCTTACAGAATTCTCGAGGCTCGTGGTTTCTAGGGGGGCTTCAAGTGAACACTCCTGAGCCCGGCCCCCGATGCCCAGGAAGACAACTGTTCTCCCTGGTGCCTGCATTTTTACTCTCCACCAGGGGAAGAAGGGCTGCCTAGTGGCTTGTGGTGACGGAGTTCCATCTTCTGAGGAGAGACCGTCAGGCTTCTGAGGCTGCTCCTTGTCTGCTTGGCTACTGGTGACACATTCCCTGGTCCTCGGAACTGGCCAAGAGCAAGAAAGCTCTTGCTGGGGAAGACCTTCTTGCCTACACAGCTGAGCAAGTTGCTGGTCATTCCAGCAATGCCACAGGGACAAACCCATGCTAGATGAGTTCCAACTATGCCTGGCTGTGAGACAGAGTCGTGAATTCCTCACCTGTAAAGCAGGAGGTAGGTTTCCACTGTGCAACTTGCCAAGGGTGCCAGGAATGGAGAGCAGGGCATGAGGCTCGGGCAGTGATCTGGTACCGTGTCAGTCCTCCAGAGCAGAACTGATTCTCCATCACTAATATGTGGTGAGGAAGCCAAGATCAAAGGCAGCACACAGCCAACAGTTCAATCTTCGCTTAGTTTGTCCTTCTTGGCCACACTGTGGTATTTTCTAGGTCAGTCTGACATTTTTTTTTTTTTTTTCAGAATTGCACATGACAACGAAGAAAAGCCAAGAATTTCCAGACATTCAAGCAGATTGGAGAAAGCAAAGATTTGAGCAGACTAGTCATGCTGACACTTCAAGGCAACTCCAGAAGTGGGGCGTGGAGCAGATGGAGGGGCTGGCTCAGTGAACAGAGGATTCCATAGCCAGAGTCACAAGATGCCCGAAGAACAGTGGCGCTTCCAGCTAGCCCAGTGTGGTTTCGGGAAGAAGAGCAATTTCTCAGAAACCTCACTGGTAGGGGCAGCTTTCCAAGAGTGAAGGTTTCCGTTTGCACCAATGGCATAAGCTTTTTACTTTTGCTGGGAAGTAAATGGATTTCAAACAGGACGCACAAAGTGGCAGCCGGGGTGCTAACAGTGGCAGCTGGGAAGGCGGCCAGTAGCATGGCTTACACATTAGAGGCACAGGCTTGCCAGGCTTTGGACAACTATCCATTCCTAATTAGCCAGCCCAGCAGGAAGCAGATACTTGTCTGTGCAGGTTCTGACCCAACTTATCTGATGCCTGCTGTGGTGGGCACTGAGCCAAAGGCTGGCTTCTTATAAACTTTGTTTAATGCCATAAGTCCTAGAAGACAGCACCAAGGCGTTTTTCAGATGAGACAGGATTGAAGTATGTGACTAACTGTCAGTGTTTGTCATCCACCACGGGAGCTGATGGCCTCAAGGGTGTAGGCTCTTTTTAGGAGTGCACACGTGCACATCTCCAGGACCCTGTGCTAACCACCATGAGAACTGGCTTTAAAGACAGGTCCAGAATTTGACATCATTTTTTGCCTTGTATTTCAGAATTCTTAAAAAAAAAACAAAACAAAAAAAACCAAAACACAACTGGGATACAAATTTTCAACATACTTTATTGATTCAGGGGCCAAACATGGCAGCATTTGGTCAGTTATGAAAGGCACCTCATTGAAAATTACATCACAGTGTTGTCAGGCGATCCCAGTCACAGGAAATGAGGGCGAGAAGGACAATCTTTGGATGATTTAGCGTAAGACATTTTAGCTTCCCCCCCTTTTACTATTGAGGACTGAATCCAGAGCCTTATGATGCCAGGCACGTGTATGCCACTGAGCTACACTCCTAGCCCTTGTCCACTTATTTAAAGGGTCCCAGGGATGAATGAAGGCAAAGTTGTAGGACTAGTGTGTGCTGGGTGGCTGCTGAAGGCTTTGCCACAAGAGCAGGCGATTAGGTCATAAGAAGCATGGGATCTGAGTCCCCTTGCTCCCCACAATTCCAGTAACAATGATCTGCCGAACCACCACCCGTGAGGTCGCCCCCATCTCTTCCACTTGTGCAGGTTAAGTCTCTTGATGGTATGGAATGGGGGCCACTGGCAGCAGCCAGCAGCTCCGTCCTCTATACCGGGTACACAGGCCCACTCTGACCACTGCATCCTTGGCCTGGTGGTTCAGGAGGTTTATATAGATTCCTTCGAGCATTAGCTTTGTAGTCCAGAGGAATTGAAAGCATGATTGTTTACATATAATACCATATCTCCTTATTGGCACTGATGCCCTCCAATCACAGTTTCTAAAAAATTAATCTTTTTCCCTTGCTTAGACTTTAAAAATTTCCACCTATGTGCAGAAAAAAACAACAAATCTTACTAATCACAACACTGCCACTGTTCCAAATGCTCCTCTTGAGACCCTTACCACTTCCCTCATCATCCTTCTTTCCCGTGACCACCCACTTCCCTTCTGCCGAGCACCTAAGAGCAGGGATCACACGGCGGGGAGATGAGCAGGGTGCAGTCTCGCCTGGCCTTCTGTTACTAGGCTGAAATAGAGAGGAAACAAGAAAGAACAAAATGTTTTTTTTTTTTTTTTTTTAAAAAAAGCAAGTAAATATCAGGGAAGGCTGGCATGCAACCAAACGCATTAAACACTGGACATTTCTCTGCCAGGTGAAAGCTCTCATGCCCGCTGAGGTTACAACTCTGCAATTAAACAAAGCAAAAATACAATCCCAACCACCACCAAAGAACGTCTGCACCCGTATAATTTTCCAGCTCTTACCTGAAGACCAAATGTCACATGCATACACACGAATACACAACACACACATGCCAACTGTGCACAGATCACTCCCACTCAATCAGTAACTACCCAGGGACCTCCATGTAGAGGTCAAGTGCCTGCAGCTACTGTAAGCCAGGGAAAGTCAAGTGCAAGATGCACGAGGCCACCCCCATTCACAGAAGGCTCTCATATGCCTGTAGGCCCAGATGACAGTTTTGGTTTCACTCCTCTTGCTTGCCTATTCCAAGCAGTCATGTGCTTTCCAGAAACACACACAGCCAGCCTGGTTTTCTGCTAAGAGCAGACAGGGTTAGTTTAAAGCCAAGGAAACAAGGCAGGGCAGCAGCAGCAGACACTTGGAGGCCAAAAGGGAAGCAAGATGGCCGCGTACCCATGGTGAGTTTCCACGTGGAGAGAAGCCCTCCGACAGGTTCAGACAGTAGAAGAGTTCAGGCCAGACGGGGACTGAGCACTTTGAGCCAGCAGCAGGTTATGCTGAAGCAGGCGACAGTATTTACTAGCCATGTCACTGACTTTCTAGTGGCTTTTCCAGAGGCTGAAGGCTTTGAGGTCTTGTCATAGCAGCCCACTAATTTATCTGTCACAAATCAACCAGAGGCCAAAGGGGCACAGCACAGACCATAGGACATCCGTAATAATGGGAGTTAAAGTCATCAACAAAAACATTCTGGTCATAGCTGGTCTTGCTGTGAGCTTTTCTTGGGGAGCCTACCCATCATGAAATATGGTGTACAGGGTTACACCTGAAACGGACACATCTGACTTGGGTTTTCCATCTTGTGTTTGAATAACCTTATAATGGGAATGAATCCAACAAGAGAGTATCCCCTAATCACTGTTTGGTTCATCCCTGGAAACAGGCAAACAAAAACAAGCCTCTCTCCCTGGGTCTACCTCTGGGGAAACAGCTTCGGCTGTTACCTAGCCCTGATGTTCAAGGACAATCTGAACCCCAGAGGACCTTCTACCTGGCTTAATTCTTTGACAACAACCCATTGTTTTAAACGGAAGTCCCAAGTGGTCTGAACTTTGTAACACTGTGATGTGGACCACAAAAAAATATTCAGCCTTGCTGCTCTTCCACGTGGGCATTCTATCCTATCGGTCTTTGGAGTCTGCAGTGTGTCTCCAATTAAAGGGAAAATTTTAATAATCCCTGTGTACCCACTGACTCATGGCTCTTTGTTTCCTGTCAAGAATGTGCATCAGAAACTGACACTGACTGACTTCATGTGACCCTAGACTTGGGAGTCAGCTGCTTGCTAAGGGTAACTACTATGAGGCTTTATAACCAGGGTGCCTGGAAGATAAATACTGAACAGTTTATTTTGCTTAAAAAAAATAAAAAATAAAAATAAAAAAGAATTAAAGGTGTAGCTAAAGGAGATTTTGTGTGTTTGTGTGTGTACGTGTGCACACGTGTGTGGGAGGGGAGCTAAAAGCAGAGGAAGGGAGATTATAGGGCAGGAGGGCAAAGAAAATCTACTCAAACACATCTTGTTTAAAAAAAAATGCTATAATGAAGCTGGGCATAGTAGCATGTGCCTATAATCCCAACACTCAGGAGGCAGAGACAGGCAGATCTGTAAGTCTGTGGCCAGCCTGGCCTATATAGAGAGTTCCAGGACAGATGGAAATATACAGAGGCCATCTCAAGGGGAGAAAAAGTCATGGTGATATCTGGTATTTAATATCCTGTGTGCTAGTATTTTTTTTTAAACGACAAAAGTAACAAAAGCAAACAGCTGGTAAGACAATGTAGCCCAAGATCCAGAATGTAGGAATGAGCACACACTCACGCCATACACACACAGAGAAGTGGTGCACATACACGACACATCAAGTAAGTGCTTTTTAATCAGGACATTAGAAGATAACCTTGCTGTCTAAGGAAGGAAGTGCCCCCCTCCACCTAGCCAGGCCTACCCATTCCTTTAAGGGACAGAAAGGAGAGAGACCCTTTAGACCCAACATTAGATAAACATGACCAAGTCTTTACATGTGGCTTTGGAGAAGGCTGCCAGGATGCTTGCAAACACGACATCAGGGGTCTGGCTTGCATCGATGGCACTGTGAATCCCCCGTTTCCTGTAGTACTCCACCAGTGGAATGGTCTGGGTGTGGTAGGCCTCTAGGCGGATCTTCAAGGCCTTCTCATTGTCATCTGACCTTCGGATCAGGGGTTCTCCAGTGATCTGAGAACAAAGAGGAATGAAAGGTGGGGCTGTTACAGGATGTGGCCACTCCCTGGGATGCTGTCTGATCACACATCCCACTCAAGGCAAGAGAATCAATAGAGACCCTCCCGAATAGGGAAGCAGACTGTGGTCCAGAAACAGCAATGCAGTTTGCATGTTGCTCTGTGCTGGCTGCTTAGCTTCTAGGATGAGCACTTCTAGAGTCGGAAGATGGAGGTGGGAGGTCCCAGACTGGAGAATACATCGCAGTCAGGTGCAGTAGCAACTGCAGTCTTCGTTGCTTAAACATTGAGCATAATTGCTGGAGCATCACCCACTAACATCCTGAGAACAGCAAGTGACGTGAGAAAGGCCTCTGGGATAGCTGTCAATTTTTGAGAGGTAACTTAACTTATAGACCCTGGATGACCTGAACTTGTCTCACAAGGGTCAGCCTAAAAAATTTGCCACTGCTCCCTGCATACTCTACAGCAGGCCATGAAGACTGTATAGCAAATGGACAGTGACCATGGATGAGACCCCAGGACAGAAGTCAGAGTACCCCAAGAACAGGGCATTCTGTAGCACAGCAGCCAGCAAAATTCTCTTCAGGGCCAGCTCCTGGCAACAATCTCCCTATTCGCCAACTGCTTAAGACAGCCATGGTGGCAGAAAGAGGGTGCTGTGACAGAGGACAAGCATATAGCCTCCTGGGAGTCACTGTCCGGATCTGTCAGCTTATCTCATTTTCAAGACAGTGTTACTTTTCTTGTTAAGTGAAGACGGAGGAAAAACAAGCAAGCAAACAAACACCCTTCCTGTCCTGAGTTTACATACATCATCTTTCATGGGCTCCTTTGGAGGGTTGAACTCCTCATGGTAGGACCGGCCACTCTTAGGGTGAATCAGCCTGCAGGAAGGCAAATGATCATGAGTCACAAGTCAGGTTGCTGGAAATACCTTGGTACTCTAGGGAACTCTGGACTGACAAGCAGAGACAGAGAAGTTGAGTGGAAGACTTTAATCAGCAGAAAACCCAGCTAGCACCTCACACCTAGGAAAATAACTGGCCTTCCTGCAGAGGGCGAGTCATTGCTACCTCTTGCTTAGGAAAATAACTAGGTCAATTACCCTGCCAATAGCAGTGTGTTTTCTGCTTTGTCCAAGCATAAGAAAAGCTGCTGGCGAAACTACCTCATCTAAGCCTTGGGAGCACACACGGCCATCCATCCTATTAGTACATCTATGCTAAAGAAGTTCCTAGGTGAAACCGGATCTTATGCTGAATCCAGCTGCTTCCGAAGTGATGGCTCATAATCTCTGCTACAAGCAGTACTTAGCAGGAATCAACAGCTACAAGAAATAGGACAGCCTTTCCTTTACAAGATCTGTACAAAGTGCCGGGACAGAGGACAGAAATTAAGCCTATCCTTTTTGTCTCCCTCTAATTAAAGACAGGGCTTGGCATGTAGTCTATGCTAGGGTTAAGAGCTTAAGCTACTTATGCACCAACCCCCTCGTCTTAGATCACAAGTCTGTGCCTGCTCGTGCTGTTTTCTAATCTAATTTGGTTATAAAGCAAACACATAAAAAAAAAATGTTATGAAGCCAGGCAATGGTGGCACATGCCTGTCATCCCAGCAATTGGGAGGCAGAAGCAGGTGGATCTTGTGAGCTTGAGGCCAGCCCGTCTACAAAGTGAGTCCAGTACAGCCAAGGCTAAACGAAGAAACTCTGCCTTGAATTTGGAAACTCTAATGTGGGAGAATTTCAATAGTTCAAGGCTAGCCTGGGCTACATAGTTGAGATTCTGTCTCAAAACAACAATAACAAAGTAAAAAAAAAAAAAAAAAAAGCAGGTGGGAGGGCAGACTTATTAGCACTTGCCACCAAGACTGATGACCTGAGCGCAGTCCTGGGGACCCACAGGGGACAGAGACTGGCTCTAAGGTCTCTGAGCCACAGTGTGCACGCATGTACATACCATCACACACCATAAATCAATGTAAACAGGGCAAGAGAGATGACTCCACAGTTACGAGTCCTTTCGGCTGTGGAGGACCTGAATTTGGTGTCCAGGGCCCACACTGGACAGCTCACAACTACCCGTGACTCTCAAGCTCCAGGGTCAGACACACTTTTCTCACCTGTGGTCACCTGTACTCGCACGCATGCACACACACACACACATTATTAAAAATTTGAAATAATGTTTCAAAAATCAAACAAACAAAAACAATGAACTAACTCACAGCAGGCAGTACTTATGTGGCTCTGAGAACATCCGGGCAGCTGCATCTGGGCCGAACCCTACTAGGCTGCAAGCCTGTGTTCCTGGCTGGGGATGGCCACACAAAGAGGAACCTGGACACCCGAGAAGAGAAGGAGGCTACACTCCGCACAGCAGCCAGTGCTTGAGTTGTCTACTTTCTTTTTTACTGTTGGGTGGGTGGTTTTTGTTTGTTTGTTTGGTTGGTTTTTGAGATAAGGTCTTTCTATGTAGCTCTGGCTGTCCTGGAACTTGCTGTGTAGACCAGGCTGGCCTCGAACTCAGAATGATCCAACAGTCTCTGTCTCCTAAGAGCAGGGATTAAAGGTGTGCACCACCTATCTGGCAAGTTGTACTTACTTAATCTAATGGATAGCTTGTCTCATCATGGGAGTCTGTCCAATCAGTTTCCTATCACCTTGTCTTTTGGTGTTTCTGTTCCTTCTAGGCCTTGCCAGTGGCTTACAGGTTGGGGAAATCATATTTTGTCTACCATGTGGGAAATTCTATTTATACTATTGAAGTCCTGCTGTGGAAGTTTTGGTTTATAATATGTAAACATGTTTTTGTTTTAATCCCAGGTGTGGAATATGGGACTGATTCAGACTGTCCATAGCAGCAAACAATTTGCCTTGTGCAGTGGCTCGAGAGAGGCTCTTTGCCAGCTGCAGATGGTTTAAATCTGCAGACTCTGGAGAGGGGAGAAATGCCAGGGCTCAGAGAGTGGGGGCGCTCTGGGAAAGAGGAAGGCTGCTGCTGCTCCCCGCTGCCACTAGTTGCTGTTGTTGCAGGTTGACAAGAAGAAGCGGGAGAGAGCCTGAAACGCGGGAAGATCGAACTTGCCCCAAGAAACACAATGATTCAGAACAGCAAGTAGCCAAAGAGAACTATGGCTCCTCTCACCACTAACCTTTCTTTCCTACCCAGTGTTGGGGTGTTGGAAGGGATTGGATGGAGAAAGGAGGAAGAGGCATTAAGTAACTAAAAGTTTAAAAAGTACAAGAAACAAACGACCCTGAGATTTCACCTTATACCCATCAGAATGGCTAAGATCAAAAACTCAAGAGACAACACATGCTGGAAAGGTTGCGGAGAAAGGGGAACCTTCCTCTATTGCTGGTGGGAATGGAAACTTGTACAAGCACTATGGAAATCAATCTGGCGCTTTCTCAGACAATCAGGTATACTGCTTCCTCAAGATCCAGCTATCCCACTCCTAGGCATATATCCAAAAGATGTTCAAGTACACAACAAGGACATTTGCTCAACCATGTTTGTAGCAGCTTTATTCATAATAGCCAGAACCTGGAAACAACCCAGATGTCCATCAATGGAGGAATGGATACAGAAATTGTGGTACTTTTACACAATAGAATACCACTCAGCAATTAAAAACAAGGAAATCATGAATTTTGCAGGCAAATGGTGGGATCTAGAAAAAAATCATCCTGAGATATCTCAGGAGCAGAAAGACACACACGGCATATACTCACTTATAAGTGGGTACTAGACCTATAAGATAGGATAAACATACTAAAATCTGTACACCTAAAGAAGATAAACAAGAAAGAGGACCAGGGGTAAGATGATCAATACTCACCTAGAAAGACAAAGGGGATTGACATTGGAAGTAGGAGAAAACAAGTAACAGGACAGGAGCCTACCACAGAGGGCACCTGAAAGACTCTACCTAGCAGTGTTTCAAAGCAGATACTGAGACCCATAACCAAGCCTTCGGCAGAGTGCAGGAAATCATATGAAAGGAGGCGTTAGTATGACCTAGAGGGGACAGGAGCCCCACAAGGTCCAAATATATCTGGGCACAGGGGTCTTCTCTGACTGTTTTTCCAACCAAGGACTATACATGGATATAACCTATAACCCTTGCTCAGACATAGCCCATGGTAGCTCAGTATCCAAGTGGGTTCCCTAGTAAGGGGGACAAGAATTACTTCTGACAGGAACTCAATGACTGGCTCATTGAGCTCCCCCCCCTGCCCAGGGAAGAGCAGCCTTACTAGGCCACAGATAAGGACATTGCAGCCAGTCCCGAAGATACCTGATAAGCTAGGGTCAGATGGAAGGAGAGGAGGACCTCCCCTATCAGTGGACTCGGAAGGGGGCAGGGAGGAGATGAGGGAGGGAGGGGAGGATTGGGAGGGAAAGAGGGAAAGGGCTACAGCTGGGATACAAGTGAATGTATAAAATTATTTAAAAATTAAAAAATAATAAAATCAGTGATAAAAAAAAAAGTACGAGAAACAAAGTCCTATCCATAAAATGTGACACTGTGTTTTAATCACAGCATTTTTGGTGGGAGATAAGATGACCGATTTGCACTAGATAAGATGTTAAAGTGCTCACAAAGAGGGGCAAGGTGACAGCACAGAAAACCAGGTATAGAGAAGCGTGAGTAGGCTTGTGACATCAATATTTAAAGTGAAGTTGGGTCCTCCATTATTTGAGCCCTGAAAAGCTGTCTCTGGTGTTACCCATTCAGAAATAGCATCCAGTAGAAGGCCCAGGGAGAGGGAGAGCACTGACCACTGGACTCAAGGAAGCATCTCTGGAAAGGACTAAGGGCACAAAGATGGACAACTGGCATTTATTTTCTGCAGAACAGGAGCATCTAACAGCCAGGCTGCAACTCGCTCTTCTCTATATCCCACTCAAAAAACACTGAGATTCCCTCAGCCCTCTGATTTATACACAATATGCAACTATTTCACCATTCAAAAATATCATTTTTAAGAACAAAGGACACATACTGCTTAAGAAAACAAAAGGAAAAGGAAAGAGAGCCTGAGCTCCAAGTTCCCAAGACAGGGAGGACTAGATAAGAAACAACCAAAACAGCCAAGAGCCACTGGGCAGTGATCAGGGCTGGGCCTCTACATCACTGACCTGTGGCATGACAGTTCAGACCAGTGGTCCTCAACCTTCCTATTGCTGTGACCCTTTAATACAGTGCCTCATCTTGTGGTGGCCCCAAACCATAAAATTACTCCATTGCTACTTCATAACTATAATTTTGATACTGTTATGAATAGTAATGTAAATATCTGTGTTTTCTGATGGTCTTGGGTGACCCCTGTGAAAGGGTCATTTGACTCTCGAAAAGGTTGAGAGTCACAGGTTGAGAACCGCTGCTTTAGAGCCTTGTCCTTTCAACCACAAAAGGAAGCTGCTACTGAACAGTAGGGTAATGATAGCAGAGAGCCGACTGCTAAGATAACCAGGATACCAGAGTGTCAGAAGCAAACATGTGAAAAACAGGAACAGAAACCACTATGAATAAATTCTCAAGAAACAGAGTAATAACGGAAAGTCATTAGAGCTGAAGTCACAGCTCCTTCAGAAGACTGTTACGGTGAGCTCCTTGTCAAGCCCCCACTTCCTGCCTCACTTTCCACCCGTCAGCAAGGCAGAGCAAGAAGCAGCAAGCGGAGGAGCGCCAGGTCTAGTCCTACCACACAACTGTGAGTAAACGTGGACAAAGTCCTCGATGGTCTGGCATATCCTGAGAAGCACCGGGTCTTCTAGGGAGGAAGTCACACTCCCCTCCTCCCTCTACTGCCGTCCTGCAGCTTCTTTAGATTCTCACTCACTCCTCACTCCCCAGACAGAAAGAGATCCCTATCATTTCATGTGAACATGACCAGGCTCCCACATGGGGTCCTCC